TCAACAACTGGGATCTCATCTTATTAAAATGTTTTTGCACATCAAAAGAAATCACCAACAGAGTGAAAAGAAAACCCACAGAGAGAGAAAAAAATTCAACCAAGTCTCCCTCAGACAAAGGACTTCTATCTAGAATATATAAAGAACTGAAAAAAATCAGAGGCTCCAAAATTCAAAGACCCAATCCAAAACTTGGCATCTGAAATGAATACACACTTCTCAGATGAAGAAATACAAATGGCAAGTAAATATATGAAAAAGTGTTCAACATCATAGGTCATTTGAGAAACGCACATTAAAACAACACTGAGATTTCATCTCACCCCAGAAAGAATGGCTATCATCAAGAAATCAACCAATAATGAATGCTGGCGGGGTTGCAGGATAAAAGGAACCCTTCTCCACTGTTGGTGGGGATGTAGTACAACCCCTGTGGAAATCAGTGTGGTCCTCAAAAAACTAGGATTGGAGGTCCCATTCGACCCAGCTATACCCCTTCTGAATATTTTCCCAGAAGAATTATAGACATCATAGCATAGTGATATATGTACACCCATGTTTATAGCAGCACAATTTATAATAGCTAAATGTTGGAAAAAACCCAAATGCCCATCAACCAAGGAACAGATAAAAAAAGATGTGATATTTTTATACATTACAGTGCTATTCAACTATAAAGAAGGATTAACTCGAGGCTCTTATAGGTAAATGGATGCAACTTGAGACTATGCTCATAAGTGAAATAAATCAGACTCACATGTTTAAACATCATATTGTCTCCCTAGTTTAAAAAACTGAAAGAGTAAATAAAATCCAAAATGTACAATAGATATTGTGCAAGGGGAAGAAACTGCTCAAAAGGAGAGAATAACTGGGATAGGGGAAAGGAGAAAAGAAAGAAGAGAAAAGAAAATGTATATACACAAGTATCTTTTTTTTTTGGTACCAGGAATCGAAAAAAACATATATACACAAGATAGCTAAAGTAAATATACTGCTAATTTCTATTAGTTCATTTAAAAGAATAGTTTGCACTTATATGGCTTGATTAATCTTTCATGCCTATATCTTGTAATCTGAGTAAATAAATGAAGATAGTAATATGCAATATAATAACCTTTGTTAATCTCCTATTGTTTTAAAACTGTATCAGTTTTTATTTTTTTCTCTATAAAATAAAAAAATGATCAGAGGTGGAGCTATTCTCACTCAAGGCAAACTTAACTGCCTTTGGACTTAACTTTTCCAAAATGACTGTCTTTCTTGGGAATATTCTGTTACCGTCTTGACAGTTGGGGTCCTCATTGTTGCATTGGGAGTTTTGAAGCTGCACATCACCTTCTCTGCCATGTTGGATATTAGAAACTCAGATCCAACCTTCAGTGACAAAGGTCTCCTGTCCTTGGTTTATGTATGTATCTTCACAGGGAATTCTGTGTGATGCCAGCTCTTTCTTGGCCTGAATTTTTAAAAATCTATGAGCCTTACCCAAAACTGAATTATTTTTGTGTTTTCAGATGCTTGAGACCCGATGTGAATGTTTTAAACACAGTAATTTAAGCACCATCTTAAGAAGGAAGATAGTGGAATAACCAACAGTGTAGCTAAGATCAAAGGAGCAGAAGTTCATAAGAAGAAGAGCACGGTGAATGGCAAAGAGCAAGTTAAGAATCAGCGACAAATGCTGGCCACGATGCCGTGAGCAGTGAGAATAACAGGAGTCATTCAGTACTTCTGAGTCACATGTTTTCATCTCTAAAATGGAAATTACAATGTGTGAAGGATTCAACAAGTTCTACACATACATAAGCATTTGGCACAATTTCTAGCACAATCGTAATACAGAACTAGAACATAGCAAATCTTCAATAAATGCTAGTCATCATCTTCTACGATATGGGGTCATTTCTAAAAAAATAAGGAGCTACCCATGTGTTCTGGACATATGGCATCATTCTGTGTTCACTTGTTGTTTGTTTATGTACCCACCTCTTCCTGGTGGTTCTACAGAAAAGACAACACTAGAGCTCTGGTAGAAGGGGGTCTCACATCTGAAAACATTACAATAATTCAATTTTGGATAAGACTCATAGGATTGTTACAAAGTCAGGCAAAAACGAGCAGGCATCACACAGAATTCCCTGTGAAAATACATTATTGCTAATAGTTTACAGTGTGAATCACGGGATAGCATATACGTCCTTTGAAAGTAGTCTAGTATCAAACTAGTAGCTAGGAATGAAAGACATCCCTAACAGGATAAAGTACTTCCGTGAGGATTTGCCAAAGTTAACCAAATCTCTTCACATAAATCATGAGCTTGTTTGTTGGACGTGGTTAGCTTTATGTAAATGACCGATTCTGAATTCTTTTGGGTCGAGATTTCTCTGCATCCATCAAAGTGCTTGAACTGGAACAGCATGCGGGGGGTCATACTCTCTGTGTGCCTGGCATGGGCTGGCTCTTCTCACAGCTTTCCCTTCATCTTCCCAGCAACGCTGGAATTTGGCCTTAATGTTTCCTCCACTTATAGATAAGAGTAATGAGATCAGAGGAACCGGATCACTGGCCCATAGCTTAGTTATGGGAGAGTAAACAAAAAGCAATATGGCGGTCACACAAGCTCAATTTTACCAAAATTATTTGTCATTTCATGTCAGTTGTCAAAATAATTTTGATTGTCTTTATTACCTACAAAAATCTTTCTTAGCATGCTTCAGAAGCTCAGAGTAGCATCATTAGCATCAGGTCCAATGACCTCCTGGGAGAAACACCGTAGGGAATTTCTGGGAGGAATCTACATCCAATGGAAGCCTTTGGCAAAATAATTGAAAATGAGAATAAAAGAAAACATAGTGTGTTTAAACTTGCAAAATACCTTTGGAAAGGTTAATGTTGTATTTTTCTGAGATGAGAATTCTTTGATCTTGATACTTAAAAAAAAACAGCAATGCAAGAATATAAGGGCACTTCTTTAGAGCATATAAATAATGCCGCCTGCAAGTAATCAGCCCTGGGACCACTCTTCCTTCACATATTTATAAATCATCTGGAAGAGGAGTGCATGTTGAAATTTCCAGATTTATGAAATAAAACTGCTAGGCTCTTCCAGGTAGCAAAATGCCATGCTGGTTAATATAAATGCAGAAAGCAACGCAGGGCTACATGAGTGGGCAGAATGGCAGATGGCCTTTTGCACAGACGACTGTAAGATAAGGAATTTAGGGGGAAAAAATTCAAGCCATTCTCCCAAGATTAAATGGCATTGAACTATCAGTGATAAAATTAGGAGATTTTACAGTCATGTATACCACCACTGCCAGTTATTCCCACTGCAGCTAAAAGACCAGTCAGAAATCAGGCGCATGTACAACATTTTAAAAGAGGCATTAAAAGCAGAAAATGGTATCCTGCTCAAACATAAAATCATGGCTTACTTCCACCTGGACTACTGTAAGCTGGTTTTTTTTTGTTGTTGTTGTTTTGTTTTTTTGTTTTTCAACAAACCTTAAGCAACTGTAGTAAGGTGTAAGGTCCAGAGGAAGTCCGCCTAAAGTGGTCGGTGGGAAAGAGGAGCTGCTTTATGAGAGCAAATTTGCAAAGATCAGGATGCAAGAGCCTAAGAAGAGGAAGCTCTATAAAATCACAGGGGTGTAGTACATGTAGACATCTGCTTTGGTTAACATTTCCCATCGCCATCCACAGGCAGACATGAAGGGAATAGGCTGTAGTGCTATTTAAAATCTAAGTCACTTTAGGCAGGAAGTCCAACAGGCTGACAAAGAGATCAGTAAAAATTCCAGATAGCACAAGATCTGTGCCTAAGAAATGCCTTCTCGTCAGCCTTAAAACTTGAAGAGAGAAGAGGAAATTACACGGGTAGCTACCTTGGAAACAAGTTACTACACAATCAGAGTTGATACATCCTAGGATGACACATGGGCCGGGAAGGAAGGGGATAGGTAAAGTTTGTAGGTCGATTCATAACACATTGTTTTAAGAAGTCTACTGCCGAGGATACACCTAGAACTTTACACTGCATACCTTTGAGCAAAACCAGCTTTGGAGTCCAGCAAACCCAATTCAGATCTTAGTGTCACCGCATACTGGCTCTTAGGCTTAAGCAACCACTCTGAACCTCAGTTTCCTCATCTGTAAAGCATGAAGCAGCCCATTGGGGAGGAGATGTCAGGAAGAATGAAAGAGGAGGCATCTCATGTGCGGGTCGAGGGTCTGTGCAGATCTTGGTTCCCCTTGATAGCTGCTCCTCAGCAGGTGCCTTCTGCAGCATCTCAGATTACCATCCCCAGCAGTACTGTATCCTCACCCTAATTCACTGCCCCCCCTCATTAACATCATCCTTTCATATTCATTAGCCCTTATTGGCTATAAGCCCTTCTTTAGGCATTTGGGATAAAATAGCGTCAAACCTATCCCAGTCCCCTGGATAAAGAGAGACTGAGCACAACCAGGCCTATCGACTGGGAGGCCAGGTGGGGGCACAGATTTTATTCTTAAGAGGCTAGGAAAGCTGGGTGTGGTAGCATATACTAGGAGGCTGAGGCAGGAGGATTTGAGGCCATCCTGGACAACTTAGTGAAATTGTCTTGAAATTAAAAAAAAAAAAGAACAAGCAGCAGCCTGGGGACATAGCTTGGTGTGAAGACCTTGGTTCAATCCCAATAACAACAACTACAAAGCAAAGTCCCTAGAGGGTCTCAAGTTCGTTGGTGGTAAAGAGTTGGTGTGTGCTTTTGAAGGGCCTCCTGGCTACCGGGTAGAGGATGGACTCGGCAGCAGGAGTGGGAGAGGGAGAAGAACCTGCTGTGCTTTCTTTTTCTCTCAGACTTCCAGGCTCCTCCTCTTTGTCCCCCTGATTTTGCACCCCATCTCTCATGGGCGGAGCTCATTTGCGCAAATCTCTTTGCACTTACGTTTTAGGACATAGAAAAAAATCTTTTCTTGGATGAAATAGTTAACCCAAATACATGTTGTTTCAGGTTTTAAAAATCAATTTGATTGGCCACAGGAAACGCATTTTGGCATCTCTGGGAGACAGGCTGCACGACGACCCGCCACAGAAGCCCCCTCGCTCCATCACCCTCAGGGTAAGTGCCTCATGGCCCTGTGCTTCTCTGCCTAACTCTTAAAAATCATTTTGTGCAATAAAACAACTGAAGCAGTGGGTCAGGAATATAAGCTGTGTCCGCGTAGCTTTCCTGATCGGTGTAAAAAGAAGTCTTCCTTTTGATCATGTTTTACAAAACCAGGTTTGCTTTTCTTAATTAGTTCAGTCTATATTTGGGGGATTTAGAAATACATCTGTGTCGGGATGCAGTCTGCCAGGCCACCACCTCTTCGCCTATCCCACACTCTTGTCTGCACTGAGACGGGAAATGAGTTTCCTGTCAGACCCCTCAAGCCCACAGAGAAGAAATCGATCAAGGCTCACAGTTAAGTAAAGATCAATTTAAAATTAACCCCAGGGTCTTCTGTTTTTCAAGATGCAAAAACTGACCACTTTTACCCACATCAAAAATCAAGAATAAAGAATCTAAAACTTCATTTAATAAACTACATTTATTTCTTTCAGCCATACTGTAGAATTATGGGTTAGGAAAATTGGAGAGAAACCTTGGACAGCAAAGCGAAAGAGAAAGGCAAAGAGAAAAGGCAGAGAGAAAGAGAAAACGAGACAGGTGCTTTCCAGGCAGGATAGCAATGGCAGGGAGGGGAAAAGAGCCCCTGGTTCTCATGACCCCTGCAAGATCTTTCCTAAAATTCATGCAAAGGCAGGCATCTCCCTGGCAAGTGGCTTAGTCCTGCACCGGCTGGCTTCCGATTCCCCTCCTGGGAGCTCAAGAAAAGGCAGCGCTAGCAATCAAAGAGCCCAGCCCCACCCTCAGACATTACACCGCCGGAGCAAAGGTCTTGGGGCAGTCAGCAGTCCCCAGCCCCGCATCCGCGTGGCCCAGTTGGTAGGACAAGATCTGTGACCACGCTGAATCTGATGGGGTGGAAGAAAATTGGCTTCAGGAGGGAACCCAGAGAGAGCTGATTGCTGGGCAAACTGGGGTACACTGGGATGCTTGAGGGTTTGGGGAGTGTGGATGCAGAAAGAGGACTGACTTTTCCCTCTCCAGAGAAAAAGCCTCCAGTAAGTGGGGGGAAATGAGGCTGCAAAGGGCTTGTTATCTTGCCTGCCTTTTGCCACAGAGAGGCTGTTGACCTTGGGAGAGTAATCACACTGGAATGACTCTGCAGAGTAATTTCCAGCTACTTGCTCTCCCCCTTGCCTTCCCCTCCAAACCCTTCCTTCTGACTCCCCAGAAGACGAGGGAAGGGGGAGAAAAAATGATCCCAGACGGGGCACCCAAGCAAACGTGTAGGACCTCAGTCCTCCAGTAAGATCCAGAACGGTCTAGGGAGAAGTAGCCTAGAGAGTCGGCAGGGTCCCAGGCCTCTTCTTGCTTGCAAACCCTGGAGCTCAGCCGGCTGCAGCCCCGTAGCTTATTTCTGGCTCGTCTCCAACTCGAGTTGTCATTGCCATTGAAGAGCACCCTCTGTCATTATATGCATTGCTCTGCAGTCTGTATGTCCTGTGACATGCTGTGTTGCCATACTGTGTCCTCTTCCTGGCCCTACTGTCAGACCACTCCTCGGTGGAGGATCGAGACCCTTCGGGTCCCATGGTAGCTTCTCATCATGGCAGCTGCCGTGGTGAGGGCACCCTGCTCGTAGTCCCTTCCCACGTAAGCACACATGCTGGTGTCCGGGGTGTGCGGCAGGGGTGTGCCTCACTCCTGAGGTCTGGTTTAAGAAAATAGAGCCTGCTTCTTTAGACTTTAACTTTTTGACCTGAAATGCTTGGTGGGGAAAAGTATTGACCTGATCGAACCATGAATAAAATAAATGGTGGAATGTTATCCGTTCCTTGGCATTTGATTAAAAAACAACTCCCCCCCCCCAATCCACAGTTTGTCTTGTTAGTATTTCACAATTTTGAAACCAGAGATGAGCCACAAGAACATGGTATTTATTTCATGATGTATTTCCATTCAGGAACCCAGTGGTAATCACACTCCTCCTCAGTTGTCTCCATCACTTAGCCAAAGCACTTACACCACTGGTGGCTCCCTAGACGTTCCTCACATTATCATGCAGGGCGATGCAAGGAGGAGAAGAAATGAAAACTACTTTGATGATATTCCCCGATCAAAGCTGGAGAGGCAGATGGCCCAGGTAAGGTGTACGAAGCCTCTGTGATGTGTTTACCTTTAACCTGTATCAGGTAATACATTTGGATACTAAGTGGTAGCTTATGATGGATGCTCATTGTCCACCCTTAACTTGAATTTTACCATTTTACTCTGAAGTATCTTTCCTTGCGTGCTCTCTCATTGAACCAGCCTGGATCAGACCTTTTGGGGAGAAGAATATAGATACCTACTGTCTCTGGCCATTCCGGCTGAGGAAATTGTGTCCAGTTCATTGCCCCCACAAAATCTTTGCACTAAAGGGGATAATCCTGTGTCTGAGTCACCTCGTAAGGAAGATGAAGCCTAGTTTTTAAAATGTAAATTGCTTGGATAACAGGGTAGAAGTTGGGAACAAAAGACTAACTCTGTATAGTGCTGTGAATTTCCTCCCAAGCTTCCATATTTACGTGGGGTTCTACTCCTGGGACTCTCATATTGTCACCTTGAATAGCTGAAAATAATGATGTTGCCTGACACAAATTGAGAGGAGGGATCGTCACAGTTAGATCTTTCCGACTTGGTATTGGTGTCCATGCCAGCCCGTCCTAACACCTGGAAACTTAGGTCAACCGTGGGCAAACAGTGGTGCTGTCCTTACGGTACCTTCAGATGGGTAGCTAGCTCTGCAGCTTGGCCTGGAGAGTCAAAGACATAGACCTCTTGACAACTATCAGCAGAATCAACTCTTCCCATCCTCATTCTAGGTTCAGACTGATGTGGTAAGAGGCTTCCCTCTGCCTCCCACACCTAAGATGAGAATCTCAAGGTGAAAATTTGACTGTAATTGCTTTGCCTTGGTTGTTAAATATTTTTCTCAACTGTTTGGTGAGATTCTGTTTTTCAAAACCTTTGGTAAACATTCTGTGCTGCAGCTCACAAAAGAAAAATTGAAGCAAATTCTGAGAACCGTGGCTAATCTGCCTGCAGGTACCTTGGACAGAGAGAACCTGGGCTACTGGGCCTTCTTCCCTGGGATGCTGTGCCTTCTTCCCTGGGATGCTGTGCCTTCTT